GCTCCAGAGGCTGGATGGAGTCATGATTTGGCAGCATAAAGTATTCGCCAAAGTATTGCAACACAGACAGTCCTGGGGAAGAAAACCAGATAAAACAAAATTGCTTTAAGATTGAAGAACAAGATCTGTAGGGGAAAGGTTTTTTTGGGGAAAAGATGTTCTTGAGCACACAATCCCTTCTTTGGGTCAAATCTTGCCTCCCCTGATTTATTTAAAACATATCTTTATATCTTCAGAAGTATCTTTAAACCATCATGATTATAGTGTTACATCAGGTCTAGAGACAAATGTGACAGTCGCCAAGTGCTGTGACTGTCACTTTTGTCACTAGGCATCTGAACTGAAGGACGAGGGGACAAAATCTGGCCCTTAGCTCTGCTGATGTCAGGTACCTGCAGTGTCAGCGTACTTTGGTCACGCGCAGGCTCTGAAATTAAAGCGTCTGAGGGCAGGATCCCAAGCGCAGGATGGAGCTCAGATGTCCCTCAGATGCTGATGCGGGCTGGTGGCACGGGCCAGCCGTCCCGCTCCCGGCTGGCCTTGCCTGCGAGCTGCGGCAGCTACAGCCTCTGCTTGCAGGCACGGAGAAAGAGAAGGCTGCTCCCGATCAGGGTCAAGCAAATATTTGCCTGTTTTCCTCTCCCCTCGTGCCTCAGAAGTCTCCCTTCCCCTGCCTCTCCATCTTGCTCTGGTCTACACCCAGAGCACTAGCAGATTAATTTTTTTTGTGTGTTTAAATATCCTTTCTCTTATTAAAATCCAAAGCTGCTTGGAGCGCTCTTTTTCTCCATCCTGCATTTTGGTGGAAATGTGTAATTAAAAATACAAGTGAAAGCACTCCTCCTTACAAGAAAAACTGGAATGTTCTTGGTTTATATATAGCTAAAAAGACTCATGGCTGTCTCTTGAGAAACTGCACATCCTTTTCTATGTCAGTTTTCTCTGTAATGCTTCATCGATGCTTTGTTGCTGCTGCAGCCCTGAAGACTGACACGCAACTGATCCAGTGGGAAGTTGATTTGATTAGGTTACACAAATGGAAGAATAAATAAATTATTTTAATACATTACAGTTACAGCTGTATATGCCCTTTTGTCAGGAGTTTCTTGAAACAGTTACTTTCATTTACTTAGTTTTCACTAAAGCTGATTAAAATGTTGTGGGGTTTTTTGTCAAAAAAACATTAACACTGAAAATTGGACGCTGACTATTGAGCAGTAATTTACGTGAACTTATCTGACTTCTTTGGCATATTTTCATTTTGAACAGAAAAATTAATGCCTGTAGACCAAAACCTTTAATTTAAATCTTGAATAATTTATTTTGGAAATGCTACTGCAGTGTCTCCAGAGAATTGCCATTTGGATATTTTATGTTATTGCTCACTTCCTTTACCTCCAGAACATGCCTGCCCTCAGAACCATGGTTATATCAGTGACTTCATGCTAAATACTTGTTAAGTGCTCTGCAGTATTAAGGTATAAAATAAAAATCAGCACAGAGCTTGCAAAAATAAATCGATCTGTTTCTCAAAAAGTTTTCAGCTGGTGTTTTTGCAACCCAGTGATTTAACCTTTTTTTTTTTTGTCTGTCTTAGTAATAGATGCTGTCGACTTTTTTCTTTAAAGCTGCCTTTGCCTGTGGACTCCACAAGGGGGTAGGAAATCCTTTCTCACAGTTTAGGCTGTGACAGAAAAGATCAAAAGAAAAAAAAATAGTGAACTTAACTATTCTGACCATAAAACATTTAAGAATAAAAACGTAGCAATTGTTTGAATAAAAATCACTGGCTTTGAAGACAGCTCTGAATGTTGCTGTTAGAGGCGTTGCAAGAGGGAGGCTGAGTGTGGGTTAGCTGGCTGGGATGCTCTTAAGTGTGTCTTGCTGTCCTGCATGTTCAAATTGGGATGTACCAGAGAGGAAGAGGACCATGGGGGTGCTCTCAGACTGAGGTGCCCACCTGGATGTGGGAGCTTGAACTCCCTCCTGAATCCAGGATTGGAAATATATCCTCCGAGAGTAATGTTAGCTCTTGCCGGAATTTTTCGCGGTAAAAAAATGCAAGAAGTCCTAACCCTCTGGCTGCTGCCCTGAGGAGAAGAACATCGTCTAGATTTGATACAGACCAGAATTCATGCTAAAACAGTTCACTGTGTAATTTGGAAAAATAGATTAATGGGTGAGCATGTGTTTCAGAAAAAATAATACAAAACAACTTACTGTGATATTTAAGGAGAGGAAGAAACGAAGAGAACTGCAGTGCTTGCATCTGAACATAAATGGTGTACCCCGTTGAATTGAATGTGGTTAATATGTTATAGCAAAACCCGCAGACACTCAGGTTCTCCTGTGCACCAGCAGGTGTGGTCCACAAAAAAATCCCTGTTACTCTGATGCCCTAGGTTTTGTGCAAAGCAGTGCTTTGTTTAGCACCAAGTGTAGCACCGGCATCAAGTTTAACAGCAGGTGAAACAGCATGGCATGCCACAAAATCGTTCAGGAACCAAATCCCACCGTCTGACAGATCTGCAAGTCCCCTTGGCCAGAAGAACTACTGAAGGTCTAGCTGCAGGCTGCAAGTTGGGTAGCAAGACTGACTAAGTAGATACTCCTTTAACATCCAAGGGCACACACTGGACACACACAAGGACATGACACACTAAAGCCTCACAGATAGCTCAAAATTGTTCCCTGAAGATTTGCAGTCTGTTGTCTTTGTAGGAGATGTAGTGTATTGGGCTGACTCTGAATGGTTTATGCTATATGTCAATGAAGTAATTTAATCATTAACTAAAATGTCTCCAATTGCATCATGTGTAGCATCAGTTAGGCATTTAATAGGAATTTTTAGAAATGCCTAAATGTGGGCTTAGAGACTTAATTAGACACCTAACATTAACTTAGCACATTCTTGTGTAACTAACAGAAGCGATTAAAACTCACTCTGCAGAATAGTGAGTGAGTACAGTGGCAAATAATGCTGGCAGCAAACATTGTGAAGACACTTAAAAAGGATCTGTAGTTGCCTCCAAGTCTAGTGTTATATCTAATTTTTTGTGGCCCATCATCTGACTCATGGTTTCACTGCTGGAAGGACATTTAGCACTTGTTAGCTTTCAATAAATACTCCTCATGGCCTAGTTTTAACACAAACACAGATCTGATGGCACGCAAGTTTCTCTGAAGAAGCCACATTGAGCCGCATGCAGACATGACCTGGCGCAGCTGGCTGTGACACCGTCTCTGCCACGTCCCCCATCACCTGGTGTGGAGCTCCCCTCTCCCTGCCGGCACCGGCACACTGCAGGCTCTCCACATTGCCCCCAAACACTGTGCATTTCATGTGCCTCACCTCCAAAAGGAGAAGAAGAAAGTTCCTGACAGCATCCCAGACAGTACCCTGGCCAGTAAGGTGTCATGTGAAATGTATGCAAAGGTTGCCCTCCGCTTCACCAGAGCTTGCAGAGAGCTGGGCCCCAGGAAAGCACTGCAGGAGCAAAAACAGATTAAGATGAGTCTAGACAAACCTGAGGCGACAGCACAGGCTCCGAAAGTCAGGGCTGGGTTATGTTAGAGATTCATCTCTCCAGAGCTGGGCCAGTGGCTGCAAGCAACCTGCTTCTCAGTTTTCTTGCTATCCCTGAGCACCGCTCCAGCTGCCCTCATGTTAAATCCAGGGGTCTCCCTGGGCATGCATTGAGCAATGATATGGGACAATGTATTATCCAACTTCTAGGTACCTAAAGTCTTTATTGCATCCAGCCCTGCTCTGTTCCCTGCTCTGGCTGTTCACCTAGTGGCAATTGTGCACAGAGAGAGTATTTGCACCAACTTAAAGACCTCGGATTTTATGTTTCTTATTACGAGAGGTGAGAGCCTTACACCCCACCCCAGACAAGTCTGTGAACTTCCAGCTCCTTGCTGTCTCAAGTGTTTCAGGGTTGGGGTGAATCTGGGATTCTCCAGATGCAAAATAGAATGTGTTCATGTTATCACAGATCCATTAAAAAGTTTTCAGCAAAGAAAATGAGCATCTATCACAGGCATGCCATATTAATATAGACGTGATAAGCCAAGAAGTGAATAAACATGTGGGTGGCTTTTTGGTAGTCAGGCTTTAATAAGGGTAGAGTATACACTGTATGCATACTGCAAAAGGTAAGTCAGAGGTACAATTCACAATAAAAAGACTGCAGTAACTGCATTCAGTAATGACAACTCAGCCAACCTGATTTTAAGCATGTAACTGATGTGAACTCTGGCAGTGACTCCTACTGACTTCAGAGGGAGCTCAGCACGGCAAGGACCTCAATTAGAGGCTCCAGTTCAGTGTGAAAGTGCGGTGGGGTGAATATAGGGTGGGCTGTCAGCAAGCACATTTTATAATATCTGGAGCCTGATGTCTAAACAAAGAAAGGACAAGCACATACCTGAGTGTGAGCAGTACTCTTGTTCCCGAGTACTCCTCCACAAGTACGAAGCACACAGAGGATAAGGGCTGAAAGCCCGATTCTATTGTTTTCAGGAGAAAAGATTGACTTCAAGCCAAAATTACACTCAAATTCTATTTGCTTGGGAATAACAGCAGATTCTGTACATCTGCTAATGCCACTGTCACCATATTAGCCGGGGATGTATTCAGTTTAGGAGATTATTGATGGTGAACCTCAAGAAAGGTTAGTTGCATGCATACAAGATTAGGTGAAATATTGAGTTTATGGACTGTATGTAAATACTTTCTGAAAAAAACAATGAATTAAGAGATTCTAGAAAGACTTAACTTCTGAAACACTATCAAGGCATTAAGAGTGAACACAAGTGGTAAATAAATATCGTATAAAATGAGTCTGATTTTATTAAAGAAATATTTGATGAGATAATTCTACAGGACTGACTCATAAAATTCATATTGCGCATTTCAGGCTTTTACTGAACCATGAATATCCAGTAATCCACTGTTTCTTCTTCATTTCTAGAGCTGCTGTCGGTAGTAGAAGCTATTACTGTGACTGATCTTCAGATACAAGTTTTATTGTACGAAAACTTGGGTTAAATATTTTGCCTTTTAAGATATATTTAAATGTTTTCCAAAACCATAGATAGAAAAAGCCATATATGAATGGATTGCAGAAAGAATTTAAATACAATTAAGCCGGTTTAGAGCATCAAACAAAGGTAAAGGAGTAGAGAAATTTAAAAATGGGTCAATTAAGATTGCGAAAAAATAAGGAAACCAGCGTATTAAGAAACCCAGCATAACTATACTCAAAGTCTTGGCAGCTTTTCTATCTTTATTCTTAGAAAGCTCATTTTTCTTATCACTTTTTGTGTGCCTGTGTGCCTGGCTCAACTCACATGTGTGCCTTTGGGAGACTGTAAAAATTTTAACATAAACCCCTATCATAATGCAAGCAGGAGCAAATAAACCAACTGTAAATAAAACGGCCCCCCTCAGTTTGTTGAACACAATAGGGCACAAGCTCGAGCATTTAACCAACATTTCATAGCCCTCAATTCCAGAAGCATAATCTTCTGAGCAGTCATGGTGCTGGCATAATGCAGAGGGTGGCAGATTGCATAAAACCGATCCACGGCAATGGAACAAAGATGGGAAACGGAAATTAAGCAGAGCATCAGGTCGAACCTGTAATGAACTTTGCGGAATGTCATCCCAAAATACCAGCAATTCTCCACAGACCTCACCATGCTGTAGGGCATAATGGCGAAGCCCAGAAGGAAATCTGTGATGGCCATGGATAGGATGAGGAAATTGGTTGGAGAATGAAGCTGCTTGAAATACGAAGTGGAAACGATTATGGGCAGATTCCCTAAGATGGTGAGAATGCAGGCTGCTGTTACGAATAGACCTGTTACCCCTCGTACTCCTGGCGACCTAAAGCTCTCAGGACAGGATCTATTTCCAAATTCAGAGCAGTCAGTCAAATCCCTCGAGATACCTGGAAAAAGCATAATCAATCCTTTATTAGATATTTCTATTGGAGATGCAGTTCCACAAGCAGATTTAATTTTCACGAGTTTTCAAAAGATTCCAAATCCTAACGTGAGAATACGAGATAAAGTAAGTCAAGAGCATGAATTAAATTACTGAGTGAAATGCAGTAATTCAAAGGCAAACTTTCTCTTGGCTTAAATAGGGACCGACTGCAACCCATTATTTTTCTGAAATGGTACATGAAATTTGATAACTAGAAGCTACTATAAGGTTCATTGCAAATAATATTTAAAACAAAGCAGTTGAAAGGAAACTTAATTACCTCTTAAATTAACTAAATTACATAATACCATCAATTTTATTTTGTGCATTCTATTGTACCTGGAACATTTTGTAAAATATGGTTCTTGTATTTTATATACATCATAATATTAGCAATTTTAAAGTGGTGAAAGAAAAAGATGCACAGACAAAGAAATCCCTCAAGTTCACTTCAGTCTGTAAATACTGTATAGGATTTATTCACCTCTTCAATCTTAGAATGTTGATCTTTTTTCTATAGGAGAAATATTACGCGAGCTCATATACCTCAGCTTTCTTGGAGATTTCAGTTAATGGCTGGTCAACTAAATGCTCACCTTAAGAGTCACAAATCAGCTGCCAAAATCCCCTTTTCCAAATTATTTATGATGCTAAACTCACCTGCTGTGGATTATGAAGTACTAGCAATGAACACATCTGATGGAAATCAGTTGTAAAATTGGTATGATAAGAAATATTCTTTTCTTTCCCTACATATACATTTGTTTGCTCTCATTATAATTCCACTAACTGAAAGGGAGTGGAGATAGGTTGAGTCTTGCCTCCTGTAGTAGACTGTGGTCCAGCTGCAGTAGTTAGAAATGAATACACCTGTGAATATTTTCAAGGGTCAGAAAATTCCCTTCATTTGTCTGGGGAGAACCAGACCCATTTCTGCCACCTCTTTTCCCGATAACTTGTTCGGGACTAAGGGCATATTTAGAAATAGAAGCAGAAAGAGATACTCTTCTCCACAGCAATTTAACCCACTTAAAAGGAACTTGGGAAGCAGCTTGGTCCACTGAATTTTTCCAATAGGTATCATCCTGAGATGAAGAAAATACAGAAATAGAGCATCAAAAGATTAAAAAGAATGCTTGGAAGTCAGTTTTATAGGCTAACACTACCTGCATCTGTTTCAGTAATACCACCAATAGATTCTTTAAGTAGACATTTTCCTGTTTTGTTATTGTCCTGCAAAACTGCAATGTCCGTAAAAGGCAGACCCCCTTTGTAACTTGGCTCAGATTAATGAAAAGGTGGGAATTTATTTTTCTTGTATGACATTACATTTAAGTCCCATGAGATTTTGAGTTAAAAATATATATATAATTTAGGGGTTTACATCAACAGGAGATAAACAAAGCCAAGTGTCTGTATTCCCAAGGCTATTATTTTTGTTTGCTCTATTAATTCATTTACCCTCATGTATAGGTGAGCTATTTTGGTGACTTAAGTTAGATAAAAATCGTATCAAAAAGAATCTTTGAAAGGAGAGGCTAAAGGTAAAGGTGAAGAAAAGATGTTCTCTTTTTTATCTATTTTAGTGGCCAATACATTCTATCTTTCACATTTTTTAATAATTACCATTTCTAATGAAATTTAGAAATGAAATATTTAATAACCTTGAAGAAGATTACCATCTCGTAATTTAATGGGCTGAAACATCACTTTCTGTCATGCTGGCTGTATATGCAGCTTTCACATAATGCACAGAAAATCTTCCCCATACGTTACAGAAACAGATAAAAAGAAGCGTTAATTTAGGTCAATCTATCACTGTTATTGGACAACCTACTATTATTTATAAAAAAATAAAAAATAGGAAAGGTAGTATTCATTTCTTACAAGAAGAGAAAAAATTCATTCACTATTAATGTGAATAAATGGAGTCCTCTGAGGTCAGAGGTGGATGTTCAGACTTAATGCTGACCCTTATGCAGGTGTATTGAAGATGCATTACAAGTCCAAGGGTAGATGACTGCTATTTAGCAAAGACTGGATTTTTATTGAATGCGATATACAGTAAGTCATAAGAACAGGACAGAAAATAAGCATGGGTTTTAAAATGAATTAAGGGAAAAGTGAGAACATTTAAAAGGGTCTACCTTTATGTCAGCTGCTTTAGAGACAAAAATGGAAATTTTCTGTTGGAAATAAAATGCAAATATCTGGGATTATCTACAGCAGAATCATTTACAGACTCAAAAAATAGTAAAATTTTGTTATTTTGTACAGCAGAAATATGTTATCGTTGAGATCTGTCAGTATTTTTGAGACAGGCATATCTAGTAACTTTATTTTTAAGTAATCAAGTGAGAGATGTGCAAGTTTCACACAGATGATCCTTTATTAAAAGAAGTTACTAAAACATAAATCCATGCAGAAATCTGTGCAGACACAATTATACTAGATTTAAAAAATAAATCTGTGGATAGAAGCTACACTTCAAAAAGCATTACCTTCAGAAAGCAGTGTCCCATGTGCCTCACCATTGGTCCTCCTTCAGCATGGGGCAGAAGACAGTGATGGGGGAACAGTTCGACACCTCACCTCTCAGAAATGAAATGTCTAAAACCTGCTAACAAATGGACAGGAACTGAAACCTTTATAAAAGAAACTGTTTAACTGGGTTAAAGCAAGACTACAGAAAGGACCTTAGAAATGGCACGTGGCAGTCCGGTGAAGTTCCCACTGACTGGAAAAGGGGAAACATAACCCCCATTTTTAAAAAGGGGAAAAAAGGAAGACGTGGGGAACTACAGGCCAGTCAGTCTCACCTCTGTGCCTGGCAAGATCATGGAGCAGATCCTCCTGGAAACTATGCTAAGGCACATGGAAAATAAGGAGGTGATTGGTGACAGCCAACGTGGCTTCACTAAGGGCAAATCGTGCCTGACAAATTCGGTGGCCTTCTACGACGGGGTTACAGCACTGGTGGATAAGGTAAGAGCAACTGACGTCATCTACCCGGACTTGTGCAAAGCATTTGACGCTGTCCCGCATGACATCCTTGTCTCTAAATTGGAGAGACATGGATTTGACAGATGGACCACTTGGTGGGTAAGGAATTGGCTGGATGGTCGCACTGAAAGAGTTGCGGTCAACGGCTCGATATCCAAGTGGAGACCTGTGACGAGCGGCATTCCTCATGAGTCAGTATGGGGACCGGCGCTGTTTAACATCTTTGTCGGTGACATGGACAGTGGGATTGAGTGCACCCTCAGCAAATTTGC